TAACATGACTTCAAGGGTTACAGTGTGGTGTTTGTGAAGGATTCAGAAGTGATTAATTAATACATTCAGAAATGCTCATTCAGAATCAGAACTGCATAGATATTCAACTTAGAGAACTTGTTTACTGGAACAAGTTTCCACTTTGGGTATACGAGCCTGTTAAGATGTTCAACTTTTTGTTAGCAGCTCTTGCAAAGATGACTCAAGATATTATCATGACAAGGGGGAGAAATAGAACAGAGAAGGATCAAAAAGAAGTGCTTGCTAAGGAAGAATACAAAATAAGAACACTGTCTTAAATGTGTGTTTTTCATCCTTATACAACCCTTTGTTGACCACTAAACTACCTCACAATACTATTTACACTGATAGAATGATGGTTATGCTACTTATTTCGTGGGTCGACAAATCTAAAGGATATATAGCGTGCCCCCTAATATAATAGATAATAAAAGGGACAATTACATTTCTGCCCCTAACTGGAACCCACTACTCAAATTTGCCCCTAATTTCAATGTGTGCTCAAATTTGCCCCTCTGCCGTTAGTTGCCCTTATAGAAATGCCCTTCTGCGCCGTTACCGTCCGGTCAAACAACTTTGACCATCTTGAAAAAAATAATAAAATCAAAAAAATCTGAAATTTTGTGGGATTGAAGCTACTCATGTGCGCAAGGTGCGTGCAAATTTTCGTGCTATTTAGACATATCAGGAGCTCGTGGCAAAGGAAAACAATAAATCTGTACATCTTTGAATAGTAAATTCAAAAAAATAGCAAGAAAATTCAAAAACATATGAAATTTTTTGGCATCCAAGATGCTCGGGGGCACAAGGCGTGTGCAAAATTTTGTTATCAAATGACATGCGAGGAGCTCTCGCAAAAAAAACCAAAATAGTGTATTTTTTACAAGTTTTTTTCTTAGACAAATTTTGTTTTTTTTCTCCACGAGCTCCTACAATGTCCAAACACAAAAAAATTGCACACACCTTCCAATCTTGGATGCCAAAAGAATTCATATTTTTTGAATTTTTTTGCTATTTTTTTGAATTTACAGTTCACACACGTACATATTTACTGTTTTTTCTTCACCACGAGCTCCTAGAATGTCCAAACAACATGAAAATTTGCACGCACCTTGCGAACCTGAGTACCTTCGATCCCATAAAATTTCAGACTTTTTTGACTTTTTTTGCTATTTTTTCGAGATGGTCAAAGCTGTTTGACCAGACGGTAACGACGCAGAAGGGCATTTCTATAAGGACAACTAACGGCAGAGGAGCAAATTTGAGCATACATTGAAATTAGGGGCAAATTTGAGTAGTGGGTTCCAGTTAGGGGCAGAAATGGAATTGTCCCATAATAAAATGAGTGATGGACATGTAAATATTCCAAAGGTACAGGTGACAAGTCCTCTTCTAGAATTCACGATCATCACAATACTAATATGACATACATTTTATATTAAGGAGACACCACATAAGAACACACACTATAATGCAATAAACAGGATTCTTTGTAGTATCACTACTCAATAACAAAAAATTGGTAGCCTTAAATCCAAAGAGAGTATACGACATCCTTTGTTCTTCCCTATCCATCCCCCCTTTTTCCAACAATTGAAACCACTGAGTACAAACAAATATGAATATTGTAAGAATAAAACTATTCCAATGGCATTGAAGACCATTATGTTCCTAGGATTTATTTGTTCTGAACTATGAAAGCCAACTTTTCACCCTAAACAACACAACAACATCACATACTAAAAAGCTAGATAAGATACCTAACATCACCTTGTTGTCTTCTTCCAAGACTAAAAAGTATGATCAAGAAACCCGTCGCAAGTATCTGGGCATACAGTATACAAAAATATCTGTCAATAATCAGAAATCTAGCACCAAATAGAACATTGCGAGGCTTGCTAATTGTACTATGGAAACTGTGGCACCGTTGCTACACAGAGAATCTATACATCAGGCATAAAAATTTGCAGAAAGATTACATGCACTTGAGTTCTGTGGCTGAGTCGTAAAATTACAGGTTTATACATGGAATAGGAAACCAGTTTAAGTAAGGTAGCAAATCCCGGTTTCTATTTTCCAAGCAAAGTACAGGTATTTATTCCCCTGTCTTGGACAAGACAGAAATTGGTATGTATGTTCAAACTCTATTTTTGCAAGCAAAGTACATGTATTTATTCCCCTGTCTTGGACAAGACAGAAATTGGTATGTATGTTCAAACTGGCCCAATGCTACATGTACCTCAGTATTAGGTATTATTCCCCTGTCCGATAATGCTAATAATAATTATTTTTCCAGAGAAGCAAACTAAGGAGTTACTTAAATATAAAGGTCCGACCTCATACTTCCGAGCAATAGGCGCCAATAGGAACCATAGTGTGATAATAATCCATGTTTTCATAGTGAGTGTCATCAACAAGATATCTGCAGTAGTGGAATTCACACCACATTGGTCATTTGCGCTAACATTTTACAGAAAATAAGGGGTTGTCATATACATTACCAGGTAATCTCTATTTGTCTCGAATAAATATAAAATTTCTTTTTTGTTCCACCAGATTGTCCTCAGGTATATATTTAAACTTCTACAAGATGAACAAATAATTGTTATAAGGAGCCCGGACTGGAAATAAAAAATTATCCAAACATTGTGAGAAGACCTTATCAGTTATTCTTCATCCTCAAACAACACTGCATCCCTGTGCCCAAGACGACATCCAGACATGACCATGGACAGCCGCTGCGCCGGCGACCTAGGTATGACAGATCGAGTCGATGGCGCCCCGAGGAAGCCATAGGCCAGGAGATGGCGGCGAGGGATGGGAGGAGCAGATGTGACGCATCACGCAAGAGGAGAGAGCGGGATCCCTTCGCCCTTCTCTGAAGTCGCTGCCACCGTGGGCGCATGAGCCCGGGCAGGAGACGCCGCGATCGACCGAGGAAGGAGGGACGAGCGGGGCACCGCCACCCTCATGATGACCTGCTCCTTCCACCGCCCCCATCCCCAATCTCCTCTCCTCTCGTGACCTAAATCATCCACCACTCCCTTGATCTGCGATGTTCACAACTCCTGCTGCTGCTAGGGCTCGGTGGGGGCTGTTAGTACCGCACCGGCGGAGGGGAGATGAGGTAGGCTGGGAGTGTGTTTCTGCAATGGGATGGAGATGGGGTGCGGCAATGGCGGCGGCGGCGGCGAGGAAGAGGAGTAGTTGTGTGCGGAGATGAATATTGGGGTTTGCTTCGTGAGAAAAAGCAGAAGGAGGTGTTATTTTAGTCTTTGCCCAATCGACTCTCCCAGTGAACTTTTTTTTTGTCTCTAGCGATCCGACATGGACACCGCGAGGATGCGCTCTTGATGCGCACGTTAATGCTTCTCGATTGTACATTGTACTATGCCAGGTACCGGACGAGTGGCCTCCCTAGCCCGTGTCTTCCGCAGCAGCCCTGGCTGACAGCTATGCCTGGCCATGGGCAGCCTAGTCATGGGCAGCCTGGTCTGAACGGCCAACGTTGCTCAGGAGCTGTGCCTATGCCTAGATTTTAAGCCCGAAGGCCGGGCTGAGCTGGGTCTGGGCCCGCCACATTTGCCATTTAACAAAGAGGCCCCACCCGAGGCATGACGGGCTTTTACATTGACGGGTTGGGCTTGAGCCTGATTTCTAGGACCGACGCCCGAGCCGGGCTGGGCCTAGACCTGGATTTTTTGTGTCGGGCTTGGTCAGGCTCGCCCTGAAGCCCGGCCCGGCCCGAGGGATGGCCAGGTATACTCACGCAGCACAACTGCTTAGCTTTCTTCGCTGCAAGCGCCGCCTCAGTCAGCACGCCCCTTGCTTTGCGCTTGCCCTTTTCGTCAAGGAGATGAGTGGCGTGCAGTGACTCAGTCAGCCTAATTTTGATGAGTTGGTCGTTGAGGCGGTGTCGGCAGAAGCTTCTACGATGATCCTGGACCGGTCCTCAGCCCATGCCAATGCGAGGTCCGGGTCTGCAAGGACCCAGTCTGGCGTGGCGAACAACTACAAGGAGACGAAGCCGCACCATCGTCATTGCCCTTCTCTCATCGGAGCCGGGGCAAACTTTGTTATAGTAGAAATCAAGAAGTTGTCGTGTCAAGGCCCCAAAGGGCCAGCACACCGGAACAACAACTGTCGTCGGTGAAGAGAAACGTAAATCAGAAGGATCCAATGTGTAAACACACATACGCGGACGAACATAGACCATATCCAAACAAATTCATCAAAGACAAATACGGACCGAGTTTCGCGAGATTCGCCGGAGACATACCTTCTCCCATCCTTCGATGATGCTAGATGCACCACCGGGACGAGGGCTAGATGAAAAGAACCTTATTTAACTTTTAGAAAACCGTTGCTTCGCCTTCAACAACAAATCCTTGCACCCCGTCCGAACGCATTAAGAACATTTAGTGAGGTTGATTTTGGCTTTACTTCACTGCAACAACTCATGTGGTGTGCCCTTTGTATCTGCTTTTTGATTGATTTTTCTAAATAATTAGAAAATCTTCGTTGTCCCTTTCAAGATGCCATATGACAAAATCTTACTCCCTCCATCTCACAATATAAGATCGTTTCTCAAGCTATATTTCAATAGTTTTATATACATTTTAAATTACAGGGATGTTTAATCAATCAATATTTGTATGTCTAATTTTATTGTTCCTTGGCAACCCATGGCATTCAACTAATTTAGCATAAGACCAAATCTCACACCGTCAGTTTCGTAAAGCAACAATAAAGAGATAAATTATCGCAAATAAAAGTCTGCATTGAGCATTCAAATCGAATAATCACTGAGCCTGCACGGACTCAAATTATTGTACCAGCTTCTTTCCTTATTGGGAATGCTCTGCCGGCTCCACATTCCGGCTGCCACCCAGTTTTCCTCTTCGGTCCTGGGTGGGTCACCGCAGTTCCTCCATTATTTCACCATCGAGCACGCACACACGCCGCGGCCAGAAATAGCAATGGAGGGAGGGCAGAGCAGCGGCAAGAGGGCGAGCGCAGAGGAAGTGAAGTCAGAGCCAGAGGAAGGAGAGGTGCTGATGATGATGCAGGACGGAGGCGAAGGAGGCGGCGCGTCGGTGGCGGCGGAGTCCATGGCGCCGGCGCAGATCGACGTGAGGATGGACCTGACGCTGCTCCACTGCCAGGGCTGCCTCCTCCCCCTGAAGCCCCCCGTCTTCAAGGTGATCCCTTCTTTCCCCTCGCCCCCAGAGAGCGACCACATATTATTTCTGGAAGAAATCCATGTCCGTCTACCATCTTGCAAGTGCAACGGGCATGGAAGCTGATGATTTGGGGGTTGTGTTGCGTTTTCTGGCCGCAGTGCGAGGCCGCCGGGCACGTCGTGTGCTACCACTGCCGCGCCGTCCACAGCACCATCTGCAGCCGCGCCAGCACGCACTGCGGCGAGCTGGACGCCGTGGTGGGCGCCGCCAAGGTGCCGTGCGCCTACAGGGCGTTCGGCTGCGAGCGGCACGTGGTGTACCACGAGGCCGCGGACCACCAGCGCGCGTGCCACTGCGCGCCCTGCTCCTGCCCGGACCCGGCGTGCGGCTTCGCGGGCAACCGCGCGGCGCTCCTCGACCACTTCGCCGCCGTCCACCGGCGCCCCGCCGCCACGGTCCGCTACGGCCGGGCCCGGGACCTCGGCCTCTCCGTGTCGCGCCGCTGGCACGCGCTCGTCGGGGAGGAGGACGGCAGCGCGTTCCTCGTGTCCCTGGGCCCGCTCGGCGCGGCCACCGCCGTGTCGCTGGTCTGCGTCAGGCCGGACGGCGAGGCGGCGCCGCAGTTCTGGTGCAAGCTCTCCGTGGAGCGCCTGGGCGGCGACAACAGGGACAGGCTGGTCCTCATGGCCTCCGCGGTGAGCAGCAGCGCGCTGTCCACCGGCGCGCCGGCGCCGGGGCAGGGGATGTTCTTGGCCGTGCCCCAGGAGCTGCTCTCCGGCGACACGCTCACGCTCACCGTCCGCATTGATATGATCCGGCCTGCCGCCGGCGCTGCCGCCGCTCCCAAGTCGACAACACCACAGCCTAGGACGGCTAGGAGGATGCAGTGAAGTATATGCGGCCCACGATCTTCCGCACTGTGCATGTTATGTCTATGAGACTATGAGCTGTAGGTAGTAGTAATGCAGCTACTGGTTTGTAAGTACTACTTATTTGATTGAGTGAGTGCAACCAATTGAAGTTAATTTGGAGATCCTGAACCGGGGTATATTATCTGAACCTGCATTAGAGTATGTAGAGTGAAGTGCATTTTTTGAACCATTTTTTGTTCTAGCTGCTTTTAATGTACTGTATCAGGTTGTTCATGTTCAGGTTCTTTAGGGTTTTGTTCGCAGGAAATGAACTTCTGCAAATCATTTTTTCAGATTGGCATGAACAAGATGCATCTAAATGTATCATTTTACAAAACTAACATCAATTTTTCATTTATCTGAGATAATTCCCATTTTTGGGTGAGCAAGCTGGACCTGATGCTCAAAAGACATTCATGCTTAAACCAAGTATGGCAATGTGGACAGACTCACATTTCGAAGTGTTTTATTTTTCCTTTTAATGGGACGTCAAGTCAAATTGTGCGTGGAAAGCTCATAAGAGAAAGCAATCACGAACTTGCCATACCCCACTTCACCTACCTTGTCGTGCTTGCTTTATCTATAAAGCGGGACGGAAAGCCTTTTTCGGTAAGTTGTGCGTGTCTGTGTACCAAATAGGAGACAAAGTATCATGCTTCTTCTAAAGTTTGTATTCATGGTTCACATAAATACTAGTGTGTTACCATCTTCTCTGAACCAGATCAACAACAGTTGTTTCGATCATAATGTCAGATACAAGCTTATACTGTTTTGAATGTTTTTAGTAAAGGTGGGATATTTCAGACAATATTTATCCAAATTTTGCATTTTGTTACCGAAGTGAAGATATAGTGTGCAACAGTGCCGACAATGTTCAAGGCCAGAGCTCCAAGCAAGTAGCATCAACTGCTGTTGTTCCTAAAAAAAACTGCTATGCATCTTGATGCAAGTTTGTTGTATATACATCTCTGAACATAACTAAAATGTACTTCCTCCGTCTCATAATATAAGAGTGTTCTTGACACTACTCTAGTGTCAAGAACACTCTTATGTTATGAGACGGATGGAGTATCTTTCAGGTACCAAACGACACCTTTTTTTGTTATAAAATTCACAATGCACTTGGGCTCACAAATTCAGTCCATTGGTTTCAACCTCCAACCTGCTGGTTACTTTACAGTTTGGGACAAACTTGGGCTGCTTACTTATCTCAAGTTGTAATTAAACTGCAGAAGCCATGTTCCTTTCCCAAGTTAATGAAAGAAAGAAAAACACCTGATAACGCGCATCCAAAACAGGTTCACGATCTTTTTGTGACACTTAACTGGAAGCAGCAGCTTGGAGAGAGATTCTATTGCAGAAATGGACGTTTAACCAACAAGCACCCACGTTGTATGCAACAGAAAGATGAGAGTCATCTGCCTACTTGATGAAACCCACATTTCTTGCCAAGTAAATAAAAAGAGGGGAGTGCTTCGGTACAACACCCCCCCCCCCTAAAGGGTATAATGGGTAGTATGGTCATTTCACATTAGGTATACGAATACCCACCCCGACACCGTATGTCCGCGCACGACGTCGTACGCCCACCCGCGTATGCCGCACCCGTTGATGTACGTCGCGCCCCGTACGCCCGCCCGTGTACCCGCACCCGTCGTCGTACGTCGCCGCCATACGCCCGCACGTCTCCACATTGGCGTCGATATTATTGAAAAAAAAAACGTCACGGGAGCCGCCGACGCCCGCCGTCGTAATCCTAAACCCTAAAGGCATCCACGCCGTCTCCACATCGGCCCCCGTCTCCACGAAGTCGCCGTCGCCCGGGTCGCCACCCAAACAAGCCGATGCGCGTGCCCCGGCGCTGTTGCCGCTGCCGCCGTGTTCCTTTCCCGTCGTGCAGATGGCCACCCACCCGTGATCTTTGTCGCCGCCTTCCTCCGCGGACTCCGCCTGCTACAACCGGCCATCGTCCTCACGCCGTCGACACCTGCCTCGGCCGGCCAGCAACGTCACGCCGTCAGCGCGTTCGTCATCAGACAAAATGGATCCAGCTGACATCCTCGCCGCCGTGCAAGAGGTTGGTTTGCGACGTCGTTGTGCTTGATGAACAAATTATTTTAGGGATGATGTTACACGGTGTTCGATTGATCTTAGAGTTTTTTTAAACATGTATAGTTAGAGGAAGAAGGCGATTATGATGGCGATGATTACGGCGAGGATAACGGAACCTCGTCACTGAATATGGATGAACCTGCTGAGGAGAACTACATGAGTTTGGATGAATCTTATAGTGGCAATGTAAGTGTGATCAATGTTGATAAAAACAATAAATATGATAAATCGCACGGACAATTACATGTTTTTTTTGCATCATGCAGCGACATGGCGATGATGATGATGATATGGATATAGATGATTCATTTGCTGAAAGTGCACTCCAGGTATGTTTTCAAAAAATAAGAGAAGAAATGACATAAGAACCATATGAGTGCTTACATGTTTTTTTTGAAATGTGCGCAGATGGACGAGGACGGGGACTTTGTGAGGAATATTGTGGACGGCGAAAGTGACAAATCACACGTTGATGCATCTCATGATGACAGCTCCAGCAAAGTAAGTTTTGAAACTTACATACATTACATATTAAAATAATAATTGACTGACATACATGGTTTCATGCATTAATTTACAGGGAGATGTAGATGGTCCAAGCGGGAAGGATGAGCATGTTGGTGATGATCTGTTTAATTTTGACATCGAATTTGATGAATATCAGTAAGCATCATTGGACAGGCATTGGAAGGTCATGAGGAGGACGTTCAGGTCACTATGAGAGGCTTACATTTTCTATAACCAGTATGCTTATGAGTGTGGTTTCAGCGTAAGAAAGGACTTGCTGAAATATTCGAAAGGTCGTGAGGGAACTAAGCACTTGAGAAAGTATCTGTGTGCGAGAGCTGGGAAACGACATGCAAAACTTTGTACAATGGAAGGCAGGACCCGCAGGCTCAGAGGGGAGACTCGTTGCTTCTACGATGCGCATATAACTTTGAAACTTGATAAAGAGCGTAATGTTTGGTATGTCAGCAGTTTCAGTGATGATCACAGTCACGCTCTAGCTAGACCAGATGAAGTCGCGTTTCTTCGGTCTCATAATCAGATAAAAGAATATCAGAAAGTTGAGATCTCAACTATGGCAGGTGCTGGAATCAGGAAACATATGATTTATGTCATCAGTAGGTACGAGTCATATGCAAAGGCTGGTTTTGGGAGGAAGAAGCTTTATAACATGTGTTATAGAGAAAAAATGAAGTTGCTTGCACAAGGTGATGCAGACACTGCCATTGGGATCATGATGACCAGAAGAGAGAGGGATCCAGATTTATTCTTTGAGCACACCGTCGATGATGAAGGAAGGCTGAAAAACCTATTCTGGTGTGATTCTCAATCACGTCGAGACTATGTTTACTACGGTGATGTGACTATCTTCGACAGCACATACAGGATGAATAGGTATGGCATTGCCATTTATACCTTTTGTCGGTCTGAACAACCACCGTTGCACCACAGTATTCGGCTGTGCTCTTGTGTCTGACGAGACGGAAGATACATATGTCTGGCTGCTTCAGACATTTTTGAGGGCTCATTGTCAGAAGAGGCCCATGTCAGTAATTACTGATGGAGATGCAGCTATGATTAAGGCCATCAGAAAGGTACTTTCGGAGGTTTGGCATCGTCTTTGCTCGTGGCATATCGAGAAGAACATGCAGAAACACCTTCATCATAAGTCTCTAAAGGAGTTCATGTCTCTACTTTATTATGCCACTTCAAAAAAATATTTGAGGAGAGATGGGCAGCGTTTACCGCCAAATGGCAGTCGGAGAAAACAAAGACATGGTTATGTAGGATGTACAAGAAGAAAAGGCTTTGGGCTGCATCATATCTGTCTGGTGGGTTTTTCTTAGGTATGAGATGTAACCAGCGAAGTGAGAGTCTGAATTCCTGCCTTCACTTGCATCTAGACTCCGGTATGACTATTGTTGATATGATTGTGCACTATGAGAACTGCATAGTTCGTCTCTGTGAGAACAAGGCGCATGACGATTACACAAACTCACAAACAGTCCCAGTACTAGTATTGGACGAGTGTAAAGATATTGAGAAATCAACTGCCCATGAGTTCATTGCGGCAAACTTTTATATCTTACAGGAAGATATGAAGAAGGCACGAGAGCTTGAGGTCCTTGAGAGACTGAGAGGAGCAGACACTCACAGATTCATACTGACATGGAAGAAAATAGGGATATCAGATTCACTATGGACTACACCCCAGGTAACTCCGAAGAAATCGTGAAGTGCAGTTGTAGGAGTATGGATCGCAAAGGACTTCCTTGCAAACATATTCTTCACGTTCTGATTCAGCTACGCTTACGTGAGATACCTAAGTGTTTAGTAATGCGCAGGTTGAGCCAAGTTGTAAGGGGTGGACTTCCCATGAAGCGCACTAGCGATCTGTTTGCGTGGGGATGGGCAGGTGCAGGGGACAGAGCTAGGTACAGCGCATTGACTATCTTATCTGCTGAAGCAACTTATAAAGCAAGCGATAAACCATTTTTATTCGACAAGTTGAAGGCGGCTCTGAGGGACATAATAGATAATGATTACACTAAGGAGGATGAGCCTGGTGCGGAGAAAAAGTTTGTGAACGATGATGCATTTGAGCCTAATCAAGATCATGTTCTGGTTCGTGATCCCGCAAAAGTTAACACCAAAGGCGCACCAAAACAGAATGTTAAAGACCGCGGTAAGGATGGTCCTGATGTCACTAAAAAGGGCGACCTAAAGCTTTTGATGAGAAAAGCAAACGTCAATGTAGCCAGTGCGGTCTTACTGGTCATTATAAGTCCACGTGCCCTCAAAATCCTAAGTACGATTTTCGTATGTTCATGTAAATCTTATTGTTCAAACCATATTTATTT